TTGCATTAAAGTCATAGTTTGCATCCCACAATCAATGGCATTTACAATGAAATTCTCTTATAAGAAGGTCACTGAACTACAACAACACACAGCTTTTAGCAGGTTCCTATCACTGTCACATCATCTCCTGAGAGAAGGATTGTGAAGCCAGGAGCTGCTAAATTCTTTCAAGCTCCTCCTTTTGCATTCTGCCCCTTCTCCTTTTAAACAAGATTCTAAAAGCAAAAATGAATTCTAGAAGCATATGTGAAATTCATACAGGTTTTGCATATAATCATATATATGCCCACCTCCTTATATTTTTATATTCTGTATAGCCACTTGTAAGAGATGAACATTGCCTATTGTTCTCAGGGAATATGCTTTATTTATTGTCATTACATCCCAAATAGAATGAGAAAATGAGAAAGAGAAAGAAAATCCAACCCAAAAACAGTCAATCAATATCTTCAATATCAGCATCCAAAAAAATCCAAAACTGTTCCAGATGTGGACATGGTGGGACAGCAGCAACTGTGACAACCCTTGTACCACATTAAGGCCAACAGCAGCACTGCCTACATCTGTCAAAATATTACAGATGGCAACCCAGTGGAGACAGAAGTTCTTCAACCTGCGAAGGGTTATACAAATACCCACAGGAGTTCAATGCGTAGGACACAGAAGCGGGTGTCAGCATAAGTAATGAATCAGGGTCAGGCAGGGTTGCTGTGGAATTGTGCTGACTGCACAGTTTTGAGCTATTTCCCTGAGCTCTGCATAGAAAAGTGACCTTGGGACCTAACCCAGAGCTGCAGCTAAAAATGGCAGAACAACAGACAATGATCTGCTCAGCGTTGCTTTGCCAAACTCACAGCAGAGCTTACCTCCTACTTCAGTGAAAGGAAAAACAAAAAACAACTCCACAATTCTGGTATTGTTAAAAAAAAAAAAGCTAATTTTGCCTTTTTTTTTTTTTTTTGCTAAAACACTATTAAAATGCTAGTTATTATACTAACTCTTCATTGCTATCAAAGAGGAGAACTTGCTGTCAAAATACCACAGTTCCTGCATGGAGAACTTTTCCTTATTTGTAATTTTACGCTTGTTCAGCCCAATAGAAAAGAAGTACCTATGGAAGTCTGCAAAGAGGAATATACAAAAGAAGGTCCGATCTTCTTGACCTGGACAACAGGCAGTCTGGCCCCCTGCTTTTGCCTCACAGTAGCAGCAATGGATCTAACAAACTTCTGAATTATCCACACATAATTTTATAATTGTCTTTAGAAGCAAAGCCAGCAAAGTGATCTCCTGATCCATTCCTTAAATGCACAGGGCTCTACCCAGCCATTTCTTTTCTCTCTCCTATACTGAGTCATTCGTGATCCTTTTCTTACTACATACTAGTTGCAACAGTGACCATGTTGACTACGTGCAAGTTTAACAGAAGTTTGAAGCAGCATAGATCCAGAGCACAGATGAATATTCAGTGTTGAACAGACAACAAAACTGTGTAGGGTGTCACAAGCAAATCCTTTCAATGCACCAACAAAACTAACTCCCGTTAATTTGGAATTTGATAGTTACACATACGACTACCATACAGACTCAATTCCCTTTCTCTTCCATATCCTACACTTAGTCTCCATTTCTTCGTTCTGTTTGTGTTAAAAGTTCATCACCTCTGAGAATTATCTCTCTGAAACACAGCACATTTCTGACGCTCTTCTTTTTTTTTTTAGTAAAGCATCTGGTACAACGAGCCTGCGTTGTTGCTGAGGACATTTCAGCCATATCCCAGTATAAAAAGTAATATTAAAGGAAAACAGAGAAAAAACTCAAAGCAAACAAAAAATACCTTCCAAAATAATAATTCTTGAATCCAGCTCATGAAGAAGAAGAAAACAAAGACGTTCATGCTCATTCCCAAAAGGCCCTTCCACAGTAGTGGATCAATCTTTACTTGTATTTACAGAGAGCACTACTGGGTCTAGCAGACATGAAAGAGATATCCACACTTGGTTCTTTATTACCACAGCAGTTTCAATCAATAACACTATGTTTCCCATCAAAACAGTACTCAAACAATAAGCACTGCAGAAACCACACTTTCTCTAGAAGCAAATACTTCCTTGACAAAAACTCCATATAACAATCTTTAGGAACCGCACATATTTTGTGCTGTCTGAAGTACAAAGGCTCCCTTCTGATAGATCATATTTTCTGCTGGCCCAAGACAATACTAATCCTAGGAAGGGAAAAAAATAGAATGGAGTAAGGTTGCTGCCCCCGGGTGGCTAAGAGCAGAGGGGCAGCCAGGAGGACCTCGGGTGGCCCAAGTGCTTCTGAACCTCTTGAGATCATGCACAGAACAGAAAAGTACAGAACAGAAAAGTGAGAAAGAAGTACAACAGCAATCAAGGCATGAGCATCACCTTTCTTAAGGGGACTGCTTCAGGCAGGAATTAAATTCACGGATTCCTCCTTTCCTGTAGGAGGTGGCACTGTCCTGGTAAAAGCTACAGATAGTGGCTTTTTGTCCAAAATAAATAAAGCAAGCACAGAAGACAGTGAACCGTAAGGAAAAAAAAAAAAAAAAAAAAAAAAAAAAAAAAAAAAGAATGCTGTGCTGTAGTCTGTCAAAAAGACTGGAGGCTATTTAAAATTCCTAGGAAGAGCACTTCTAGGCAAAGAGCTGAAGCTATAAATTAACCTGCTACTGGTGCACACTCATTATAATTAACATCACTGGAGAGAAAGAAAGAAGAAATGAAGGATGGCTTGAAATGCACCAGGACAGAAGGAGAACAGGAGAGAGAGGGACTATAAAACAACAAACACCTCACCTAGGGAAAGCTGTCTGAAGCTTATAATCATTTACCCTCTACGAGACGGATCTGAACCTCTTAAAAAATTGCTCAGAACTGCAGGATAAGGCAGTTACATACAACAGTGCCATTCTCAGACACATGAAACTTATATCTGCACACATTTCCTTCCTGACTCTCACAGAGCCTCACACTGAGGTGACTGCCTTTGCACCTCCAGCCTACTTTGAATTCTTCACTTAACCAGTTTACAGACTATTTGGTCCATATTGCCTCTTCCTTCTTAACAACTTTCATCTAATTTAGAAAGCAGACCAACTAGACTTCCATTTGTAAAGTGGTAGAAGGGTTGATAAAAGATGTTGACTCTTTTTCGGATTTGCAAAGAAATTTTCCTCCTGGTGATGCCAAGCTAGCTAGCAAGGATTGAATGCTAGTTTATCTTAGATAAGCAGTTCAGATTACAGATTTGGAACATGGAAATGTTTAGCAATTTGTTAGTAAATCATTACCTTTAAAGAACATTTAGGAAGCTGACTGCACGGTCCATTTTTTAAAATTAGCAAAAGAATTTATAGTAAGGGTATGTATCACTGTAGAATCACTGTAGAGTAAGTTTAACTCCACCAACATTGAACTCCACGATTTTAATTCCTTTTTTTTTTTTTTTTTTTTAAGGTCACAATCTCCACACAGGACAGATCTCTACAATCAAGTGCTAGTTTAGTTTGATACCATTTCGGGCTAGCGACCGAGTGATCAGTCTAATGTTGGACCCAGAGGCACTGTAAAAGCCTGAGTTTTTGCTAATAGAAAGAAGTAGGCTGATGCCACCCTCTCCACTGACTTCATTTTCCTCACAGGAAGAGAGCACTGGAGAGATTCACATTGAGAAAGGGCATAGTTTGGGACACGCATTATACAGTGCTGTGGGGCTCCATAACCAGTAGAACTGGATCTACTGCAAATGACTGGCAGAGCAGATGTAGAGGAAATGAGGTAATAGTCTCACCGCAAAATTAATGAAGCGTAAACCCAGTTCTTATGTCCACTTGTGGATTCTTCAGCCACTGGCATTATCTGATCAGTGCTGGAAGCATTCATGCCAGGAATTCGGGCTCACGTGCTAATCACACTGCATTAACTCATGCAGGAAAGCAGATTTTAGTCAAAACCTATCTAAATGGACAAGTGTTGTTTTCACATACAGTAAGAAAGATTTAGTTATTCATGCTCTGCTCCTTCCGTACCTTGAAAGAAGGAAAATATTTCCTTACCGTGTTCATAAATAGTTGAATCATCCAAAATGTTAAGCAAGTCAGCCTTAATAAAATCCACATGATTTTTTACAGATGTAGTTTCCACGTCAAAACATAATGGAGCTAAATGTTACATTAACTGACAAACCTTTAGCCTTTACAGGAACTTTAGACTGCTGCTTTTTTCCTGTGGAGTTCTATTCGCATAAAATCAATATAAAGTCAGAAAAACAAAGGTGTGCCCCCACTTTTCCCAATCTTAATGTAGAATAAAGCTATATTTTTTGGCCTCTTCTTATTTGGTATGAAAGCTATCAGCAAAACCTATGGGGGAGGAGAGGGGGGAAATCACATAAAGCTAACAAGATGAGGTCATCTAAAATCCGATGACCTCATAGGTCATCAGATACTTAGTCTATCCACTTCTGCCGCAAGTGCAACTGTATTGTATCAGTTTATACAGTAACTTATCTAACCTGCTTTTAAAGGCCTGCCATGATGAATCTCCATTTGCTAAGATGATGAATGCCAATGTCTCAGTATTTGTTTTAGGATTCCCCTATCCAACATAGGAGTCTGCCTGCAAGTTGAAGAAATCACTGTTCTATCCATCATGGACAGAGAAAAGTAACTTTCCCTCTCACTGCATACCACCCCTAACTTTGTTAAACACTTGCATTCAATCTTGCTTCAGATATATGTTTCAAACCTTTGATCCTCCCATTTTCTGCTCAGTCTTTTCCTCAGCCTTTCCACTTCTTTTTGGGACTGTACTGCCCATACCTGGAGGCTATTCACTAACCATCAGTAGATGACAAGAATTATTTTTTTCTGTTTCTCAGAAAAAAAGCAAAGCAAAGAAAAAACCAATACAACAGCATACACACAAAACTAACTGATCAAGCAACATTTTCCAATGGTCTGAGCAACTCACCAAATACTTCGTTGTCCTCTGAAGACTGCTGTGTTAGTCTTGCTGCTTTCGGACTCTCCTTAGCCACTTCCTCCACCTTGGTTTCAGCATTCTGTAAAACAAACCAGTCCTTCAGATCAGGTCCTCTTTTAAGGTGACTAACCAGAAACATTCTTTGAATTTCTTAATTATGCAGGAATCACATTCTTAAACATTTCTTAAACACAGAAACACTAATATGAAGGGTCTTGCCATCTTTATAATTTCATGTATGTGTTTTTGCAAAATATTGAGGAATATTACTCTTAGAAAACAATGGAGGAGGTTGTTTGACTGTTTTAAATAGAACTTTCATTTATTTCTTTTTCCTCTCTACTTTACCTTCATTGTCTCTTAAGCCTCAATAATGAAACAGTAGAGAAAATTCAATTACACAGTATCTTCAATAGTGATTTCCTTGCACTTCAACTTAATTTAACTTTAAACCATCACATTTGATAAGCATGTTGCTCCTCTCATCCCACACTTCATTTAGCTGGGACGCTAACAAAATTGTCAGAGTACAGCATATAACTTGGATGTGCAAATATGTGTGTGGGGGAGATATATATACATATATTCAAAACAAAGCTGTGCGTCTTTGACACCTTGCTCAGATATCTACTATGTTTGCTTCACCTGTCTATTCACCAAATGCATTGGAGAGAGAATTTAAGTGAACCTCTAAAACCAGTGGCAAAATTCTCATTGAAATCAGTTTTCCTATGTGCCTACCCATCACTGAAGACCTAGTCTTTGCAAAAATGTTAGCAAATAAGATCAAATCCAGTTTCCAAATCCATCTTATTTTAAGTTGACTGGGAGGAGAGTGGCACAGTGGAAATGGCATTTCTAAACTCTTCAGAACAATTGTATGTAATATGAATTTAGCAAATCCAATTTCTTATCAAACATTTGATTTGTGGACTTTTTAAGATTTCTGCTTGACATTACTTTAATAAATTTGTCAGAGATAGAAACTTCTGCAAAAAGCTTCAATTGTACAGCACTAAGGTCACCCTTCCTACTTTCTCAGACACTGAATCTCAGCTAGCAGCAATGAGTACAAAACGACAGTTTACAATTCGCTCTCTTATTTTATCCAAATGACCATTCTCTATGTATGAATAACAGATACCAGAGGACATAAGATGTAGGACTACAGAAGACATCGAAATTAGAATAAGAGTGAGACCTTAAAAGCTATGACAGACTTCAAGTTTCCACTTTCCCTCTCATATTCCACTTTCTTTCTATTGACATTTCCCACTGTTGACATACTGAACCAAGAACACAGAGCACAAATATTTCTCCTGACAGAGGAAAGGTCAGCCAGATAAAGAGAGGTTCTACTGCTTGATAGCAGCCATTCTTAAGCCTTTAACCAACTAAATGACCATCTGAAGCACAAGCACTTAATTAGTTCTGAAACAAATTTGCCGATTAGATATCTTTGGACTCAGGTTAATGCTACGTAAGTCAGCAGTTTCAGAATTTGAGCTGCCAGAATTCAAAGCATTTCATTTCCTAATTAAAAAAGAATGAAAGCTGCAAAAGAAAAGACATAACTCATGGAACACTGAGTTTTAAAGTTATATTGCTACTACAGAAACCTCTAAAGACAAAAGAAGCACCTCATGTTTTCAGCATGTTTTGCTTTGGTACTCAGAAGAAATGTATATGCATGCTTGCAGCAATGCAGCTCATAAACGAGACAGCACTTGAGCAATGGATATGAATTGACTGATGCAATATTAAATATTGCTAGGAGGAGTTAAATATGAGTTGGAGAAGAAAATAAAGGCATGTGCTATGCCTATGCTTTTGAAATGACGGATACTGCTCTATTCAAGAACATGCTCATTTATAAATGTTTTCTGGGGTTTTGAAGAAATTGCCTTTATAAAATTTACAAATTCAGACTTACATTTTGGAATTGCTGCTATACAGTCCATGAAAAATGCCTCAGAACTTAAGCACACTTCCAACCTGTAGGCAGCCTCTTATCTCCCCTCATTAAAAACTACACAGAAGAGAGAAGAAAACAGTTCGACTAAGTCTGTTAACCTTCCTACACAAGACAGCAGACAAATTTAGGGTATGAAAACTCAAAGAGATTCCAAAGAAAGACAGCAATCTGTTGGGAAAAAAAAACTAACGAAAGCAAGACCTAAAAAGGTCACTGGTGTTGTCACAGCAGCAGCAGCAAAGAGTTGGGGGGTGGGGGGAGGGGGAAACAACACAGAAAGTAAAGGATAGGATGGAAACTATGCTTCAGAGGAAAAATCATCTGCAGAAGTGTTCTTAAGGTACCAAACTGAACATCCCACATGAAATCCACTAGTTATGAATCTCACAAAGCCGAGGAGACAGCCAGTTTCAGCACATGCTTGCTTCAGTTTGGATTAACTGGCGTCTCTCAGGATGACAGCAGCACCCAGTTATAAACCAACAGTGACTGTACAGAGAGAAAACTTGCTCAGATAAACACAAACACTGGAGCCCTTCCTCAAAAAAGTCATGTATTAACTACAGTGTGCAGGCACTGTCTATGCACACAAGATCCATGCGAAGGTCCGTGGTGCCCAAACTGCTTTAGAGAACCACCAGTGAGTGAATCAGCAAGTCACATAACAGAGTTGGGTTCTCCATCCTATTTTAGTTGCACTGCAGTAAGCAGCTTAATTACAACATCTTTATAAGAGATGGAGACCAGCTTTCTACTCTGAAGAAAGCGGAAGAGGATAGCTACTATGGCAGTGAGTCAATTCCAAAACAAAAAGTCCTTAAACACTGTGCCATCACTGAAAAGATAAAATTCATACAAATAGAGCAAACCAAGTTCACAGGTCTCCAAGATGAAGGGGACAACTGAAATCCTCATCAGAGCTACTGTTCTAGGTTGTGTAAAGACAGCACTTGTCAGCTCAATTTCAGGTGTCCGATACACTAGATGTGATGGAGTAAAGCCGGAAGAGATTAAAGTGTTATTGTTACTGATAAAGCTACTATTTTATAACCAAATATGATACATGAAAAATCACAGCAAAAAAAAAAAATGATTAATGATGCAGATATTCTAAAGACAATTTCTATTATAAAACAGATTTTTAAAAGGCAAGATATACCCACTTGTTTAATTCTTTCTTCCAGCATCCTAAAAACTTTCAGGTGTCTCAACCTCTCCAACCAATTAACAGAAAAATTCAAACTTTATTCCTCTACAATGCTTGAGCTGTGCCAGGATGGATTCATTACCTACAGTTACAAAGTGCTAGTGGAAAAAAAACAAAGCTCCTTTGTACCAATCATAGTAATTCTATCTAGATCTGACTTTCAGGTTGAGCACTCAATGCACTTTCAGGAAAGACTGACAAAATAAGTTTATTTTATAGGATTACTGGTTATATCTGATTTGGGCCTATATATCTTTATACCCTATACCTACATATCTGTATATCTTTATCAGTGATCTCGATGAAGGGATTGAGTTCACACTCTCAGTAAGTTTGCAGACAACACCCAGTTGGGTGGGAGTGTTGTTCTGCCAGAGGGTAGAAAGGCACTAGAGAGGGACCTGGGTAGACTGGATCGATGGGCCAGGGTAAACTGTATGAATTTCAATAGGGCCAAAAGTCGGGTCCTGCATTTTGGTCACCCCAGGCAACCCTACAGGCTTGGGGAGGAGTGGCCGGAAAGCTGCCTGACAGAAAGGGACCTTTGTGTACTGATGGACAGTCGGCTGAATATGAGCCAGCAGTGTGCCCAGGTGGCCAAGAAGGCCAATGGCATCCTGGGTGGTATCAGGAATGGTGTGGTGAGCAGGACTAGGGAAGTCATCCTGCCCCTGCACTCGGCACTGGTGATTCCTCACCTCAAATACTGTGTTCAGTTTTGGACACCTCAGTACAGAAAGGACACTGAGGTGCTGGAGCAGGTCCAAAGAAGGGCAACAAGGCTGGTGAAGGACTTGAAGGATATGCACTACAAGGAGCAACTGAAGGAACTGGGGCTGTTTAGTCTGGGGAAGAAGAGGCTGAGAGGAGACCTTATTGCTCTCTTTAAATACCTGAAAGGTGACTGCAGTGAGAGCAAAGTTGGTTTCTTCTCACTGCTGACAGGATGAGGAGAAATGGCCTCAAGTTGCGCCAGGGTAAGTTTAGATTGGATATCAGGAAAAACTTCTTAACAGAAAAGGTTGTTAAGCACTGGAATAGGCTCCCCAGGGAGGTGGTTGAGTCATCATCCCTGGATGTGTTTAGAAACGGTTTGGATGTGGTGCTCAGGGACATGATTTAGTAGAGGGTTGTTAGAGTCAGGGTAGTATGGTTGGGTGAGGTTTAATTTGATGATCTTTAAGGTCTTTGCCAACCTGAGCAATTCCATGATTCAATGATTCTATATTTAAATAAGTTCACATAAGCTCTCTCTCTCTCTCTTCCTTTCTCCAAAGTATCACTACAAAAATTCATTTCAAACTGAGATTCAAGTAAATAGTCCTTTGCATGTGCTTCACCTCAGGGAATTGACAAAGATGTCCCCAACTCTGCAGCTGCTCTGATATCAGACGAGAAACTAGAGGATCTATTGGCCCAGTTTCCCATTGTAGCAGACCACTATTTCTTTGTGACTCAGTTTATCTGCTTTCCATCACAGCTGTTGCATCGTGTTATAGTAGTGAGCGAGTGAACACTGCAGTCTCCATGTTAAATAATATTTAAGAATTTTGATAGGTAAATATAGAAGCAACTGGTAGCTATCAAAGTATTTGCCACCAACTAATATCAACATCAAAATCGCATTTTGGCTATGTACCCACACATTAGTGCAAGAAATAAGGCCATATTATTATTATTGTTATTACTATTATTATTTTGTTCCTATCAATGCCTATTTAAAGGATCTTTACCTGAATGGGAAATAAGAAATGCTGAGTTACAATAACTGTGCAGTAACAGACCAGGTTAGAAAATACAATCAAGCATATGGCATTTACTGAAGCAGATTATTTCCTCAAAAAAAAAAAAAAAAAAAAAAGACAGGACTCAGAAATGAAGAATTGTACTCTTGAGT